TTCAAAATCTATCATAAACAATCTATAAATTTTCATTATGCAGATCGGGGCGATGGCAATTGCCCGGATTGCTTGTAGTTCTTCTGAAGGTCAGCCAGTCCGCCGTCCGCCGTCCGCCGACCGCGGTCTACAGTCAATTACATGGATTGGGGTGCGACCCAAACAACTAATTAAACAGATCCATGATCGCTGATTGTAATTGAAAGAGCAACATGGGCAACAGCAAATGTTTTCGGATCGGCAGGGGTCTTGGAGTTTGGGACTCTATTTAGTGGGTTGGTATGGCAGGAATCCCGCGGGAACCCGGTATTAAGGCCGAGTTATAGGTTTTAGGCGGCCAGGCCACGCCCTCGCTGGTCCATCATATGCATTTGCACAGATTACTAATCGTCTTTTTGTCTTCATTTGATGGCTTTGGGTTTTAATTATTCGAGAAATGGTTTTCCAAAACAGACCAGCTCAGCGAGATGAGATGAGAGCCCGCATATCTTAAACGTTCCGTTGTGTTGTGATGGTGTCTCGAGCCCATTTTCAGGTGTCTGTTAATTTGTTTTCCCCCCTCGTGGGACCCGTGTCCCGTCCCGGCCCACCCCTTCCCCACATGAGGATGGCTGGGACTGCCTTAAACTCGTCTGACCCTCATCGTCTTTGTTTAACAACAAATGCTTGACTTGGGCCAAGGTGTTAAAGCTTGTCTCCGCTCTACAGTTTTGAGTTTCCATTTTTTTTTCTTCATTTCGGTTATTTTTGGTTATTTTCGAGAACCGCTTTCCTTCTTATGTTAGTCTAGTTCGGCTCGTAGGCTTTATAATTTATGATAACCGAATGGTTTCTATGAAATTCTCCATGGAGCCAAAAAGAGATCGCCTCAGATTTGGGGCAAGCATGTCGGATTTGGTTAGACGGACAGCGGATTCATATTATTATGTTGCACATTAGCTCAGAGGAGGGTCGCTTCGATGCTCCGATGCCCTGATCCATCCATCGATCCATGTATGCATTTATAATTCAATCACGAGCAATTAACTAGGAAAAATGCATCAGTCGAAGAACAAAAGACTTAGGCAACAAACTTGAAATTTCATTAGTTTGCATAACTGCCCTTTTCTTTCTCTCCCCCTATGTCTCTCTCTCTCCTGGACTGTGCCTTGTGCGTTTTTGACAAATTTGTTTGAAAATTTCCAAATTGAAAAGATTCATTCATCAGCGGGACCGCTCGCATCATCATCATCAAGGCAGGCAGCCCGAGAAGGCAGGCAGAAGCCGGGCTCAGGGTATTTTTAATGGATTCCAACATCCCAGGTCCCAAGTTTGGGCTTTTCTTGTTTTTTGTCTGCTGCTGCTGTTGTTGCTGCTGCTGCTGCCGGGATGAGAGTCTTAGGCTCAAAGGTCCCATGTGCGATCTGACCCATTGTCGTTATAAATTAGCGCAATCAATCAACTCACTTCACCTGATTCGCCCGAAAAAGCGAGATGGCATCACAACAAAAGAGTCCAGACAATCGAAAACAGGTTATCCGCCCAAAGATTCAGATAGATAGGGCCGGCGAATGGGTAAGATACATTTATTTTGTGTATTTTCGGGGGGTTAGGCTCTATGTCTGATAGATCAGAACAGAGACCAGACAAATTTCGGCACTTCGTCAATGTCAAAACGACAGAATCATTGACCAGTTTTGTTAAATTAATCAGCAAAATTGTTTAATGGCTTTCGAAAATCCATCTCCTCTTCGGCCAGTCTTTGGCTAGTCTTTGGACTAAAATCAAAAGTTATATTTTAGCTGGAAATGTTACCGACTGGCTTATCAGAAGAGACTCGCTCGTTTGCCTATCAAAGCCATCGAAGACCGATCTCGGCTCTTTCTTCTTTTCCGAGCCAATGTTAACAAGAAGAAGTAGAAGACGGGCAGTCGAGTCCCAAGAAAAAGCAGTTAAGCATCTCCCATCCCTCCCTGCTTTTCAGGTGTAAAATGAAAGAGGGTTTTTCATCAGATCCCAAAAGAGCCGACCATAAATTCTCAGTTGCCCGCTTGCGCCCTGGAAACTTGGATGAAACCTTTTCCATATAATTTTCCTCCGTAGCCTCCAGGGGATGCGCACTTAACCGAAAAATAAAAGAATTTCAGAAAGCAAAGAACTCTCCCTTTTATTTGAAGGGTTTTTTTGTCAGGATTATGATATGATATGATTCAGTTCGATACGATTTGCCTCCTCGGGGCTTTCTTTTTACGAGTGGGGAAATGTTTTATTTTGATGCTGTTGGCCGGCACAATGTCTCTCATTATTCGTGGCACAAAGGAGTTGACTATTCAGATAGCCGGCAGTCTTTTCTGTGTAGTATGTGGGCATGGGCATGGGCACGGGTATGGGCACTCTATATGGATTCCAGGTCGCCGGTGCATTGATTTTTTGTTCATATATATATATTTCTTACGTAGCTGCAGGTGCGGAAGCAATTTGTTTAGAATTTTCGCTGTAAACGCACCAGCAACAGCAACAGCCATAGCCATAGCCACAGCAATGGCAATGGCAAGAGCAACTGCCACATGTTGCTGACGGGCGGACTGGAAGGGGAGGGGCAGGGAGACAGGGGCGCGGACATTAAATAAAAGCGAAAAGAGTAAACACACAACACGAGAAAATATTGCATGCAACAACGCGGTTCCCGTCTACACCATACCGTACTCCATGCCCCATAGTGGACTATATGGCGTATGGAGCTTGGAGTATGGCGTATGGGTGCTTGTGAGCATACAAATATGCAAATTATTGTGCACACAGAGCGGCCACGCCAACAACAAACAGCAAACAACAAGCAACAACAACCGGGCAGAAGAAGCTGGCAGATTTGTTTGGCCTGCCAGGCAGTCAAGTAAAAAAGTGAGGCAACGACTTGATCGCCGGGCACAACTAGCCAGGATGTATTGGCCCGGACCGAGTCAACAGCGCCCGAGCGGCTAAAATATATGGGCTTGAACTTGAAATTTTTATAGTCGGAAATTAGTTTGAATGAGTAAGTGCGCGATAAAGTGTGTCCAGGATATCCCCCGTATGCCATTTTGCAATTTTACAATCATTTTAAATATTCCAATAAAACAAACCATTAATTTTTTAGCTCCAAAACAATTACCATATGGCCCATAAATATCTATAAACTCTATGCATTAATACAAATGTTACAGCACTTTATGATCTGCCTGGAATCCAGATCCGAAGAAATGATTCTTTGTTGAGGAGAGTCATAACCCCACCTAGGGACTTGAGTGCTCGTATAAATTATATTTTTGTGTCAATGCCAGTGATTCTTTACGATATTTCAGATACTCCGTTTTATCATCTACGAGGAGCAATTGGAAGCCGGGGATTAGCATTAGTGGCATTACGTTTTATGGGGCCCTTGGGCGTTTTATGGTTTGGGGCTCGGCATCCCAGTCCAGTATTAATAAGTTCATAAAACTACGCGCCGTTGATGTTGGCACATTTGCTTGGCGTTTGCAGTTTTTGGGCCATAAACCGTGTAAACTGTAAACTGTAAACAAAGACTCGGTTGGTGGGCAAAGCATTTCCGAGATCTGTAAACACTCCGTCTCAGGTTGCTCCATCTAGGTATGTTCTACGGTTTCTACGTTCTTTCGTCCATCTCTCAATTATATTGTTTTATTATGGTTTCATTTTGAGCCAAGATGCCGAGCGGAGGCCTCAGAGACAAGCTCCGAGAACCAGAGACCAAAGTCACTGCGAGATACATTGTACGGCCCGGAGCGAACCGAAAAGGTAAGACGATATTCGAAAATGAGTTTTGCGGCCAAGTCTGTGAACGTGTTAAAGTCACAAGTTCCCTAACACGTCTTTAGGTTATTTGATATATTTATTAAACTAGCCGAACAATTTTTTATGCAGCTCTCGGCCTTTCTTCTCGCTCCCTCTCGCAGCCGGCGAGCTTGAGATACTTTATCTGGCGGGTACGAAACGGGTTATCAAAATATCTGCGCTCTGCTCAGGCGTGAGTTGATTAACTCTCCGATGAGGTACATTTTTTGGTAGTTGGGAAACATGGGAAAAGCTATCTGGATTCTAAATTCCCAGTATCTTTTATGGGAGGCTCATATAGGGAGAAAATGGGCGAGTATTTTGGCAAGAAATTTCTCTCGGTGCAACATTATTTCCATCTCCTTGCAGCTTCACTTGCCACTTCATCTGCGCGCCTTGGTCCATTTCATTTTTTATTTACGTGAACTACTCTGGTGTCCAATAAAATATACGCAGCGAAATCAGATGCAAAACGTGCGACAGAGAAAGAGGCGGCAGGAGAGAGAACGAGAGAGCGGGACGGGTAGAGAAAAGATTCTCAGCATCTTGTCGCTGAGACACGCGGACGCACTTAATGAGCAGCGATCTTAAATCTTAAAGTCAGACAGAGGCTGCCAGGGAGAAGAGGCATGGAGACGGTTGTATCCACACGAGCGTGTATCTCCAGACACTGCACGTAGCATGACTGTGTGTCTGTGTGTGTGTGTGTGTGTTTGTGGAAAGTATCTCGAACTGGCTTTGGTCTGGCTGCATCTTTCTCCGCCACTTGAGAGCTTGAAGAGAGCCAGAGAAGCGGTTCTCAAATGCTTATGAAGATATTATGAAAAGCAGCATAAGGTTCTGACTCCGTGCATCTTTGGGGTGTCTCGGTGTGAGTGCCGCAGCAGCAGTCGCAGCATTATGTGGCAAGTTCCATCTCCATCCGAAGGGGCAAGTTGACAAATGCTAGGATAGAGGAACGTGGACGGGTATGGGTTATGGAATTGGGAACCAGACTCCGCTTCCATCTCACCTGCAAAAAAAGATCAATGACAATTTATTGTCATGACTATGTAAGTTCTCACAAGGCGCAGGCGTGCTCAGATACTCAGATACTGAGATACTCAGATACTCGTGTATCTGCAGATCTGCATCTGCATCTGCTGGATGGTTTTCCATATTTCAAAATGACATTCGGCTGGCGCACTACGTTTGCTTTTCGGTATATTCGTTGTTTATTGGTTTTAAAAATTAAAATGAAATCTACTTAAGCCTGGTCTTCTCTTCTTTCTTAGACAAATATCACAAACAGATGGTTAGGGCTAGCTGGGCTTATTCTATACAGATACAATTACGGGAGTAGGTTAAACTTAATACTCTGGCATTTACACGATAATCTTCAGTGGACCACCCTCTAATACTTGGATCTGCTCTGCACGGGGGGCGTACGCTGGGCTCTTGGCTCGATCGTAGTAATCATAATTAACTTTAAACAATTTACAAAATAGATCTAGTAATCGCTCCTCTAATACAGGCTGGCACGTGCGTACGTACACCCCCGCTCCCATGACTATCCAGATGAAGATGCTCCGCCCTCTATTTACAGCTGATCAGTCGAGGTGTTGTTGGCTTCATTAGCTGCCCTGGCACTTGTGCACCTGTCCGAGCACCCGGTCGATGCGCTCCACCAGGATCTTGACGGACTTGTCCGGCAGCGACGGCAGGACATCCCGCACTCCGGGGCTGGTCGTCTTCTCGAAGAGATCGCGCAGCTTCTGGCCCGGCCCCGCCGCCCTCAGGCGCTGGAGGGCCTCGATCGTGGGTCGCCGGAAGACGCAGAGGTTGTCCAGCAGGAGGCTGTGATAGGCCTCGTACTTCTTGAGGAGACGATAGCCGTGAAGCAGGCCGCTCTCGTTGTCCAGGAAGACGAGCAGCTGGGAGGCGGGCTGGCGGGCGAGGTTGTGGGCCGGGGCGGCCATGATGTCGGCGTTCCATTGGAAGTTGTACAGGTTATTAACCACGCGATCGAGGTTCGCGATCAGGTAATCGAAGACGATTAAATCGGACCATTGTGCCAATTCAATTAGCCGCTGCACCAGAGCTCCTCCAGCCTCGGCATCTCCTCCTGCACCCGCTCCTCCAGGGCCGGCTGCTGCGGCTGCACCTTCTTTGCCAGCTCCCGTCTCTTCAATCGCACGTGATTGATGATCGGAGCTTGGCGAACTGGCAGCCCCCAACCGCTTGAGTAATCCCGTCTGCCTTTCGGGTTCGGTCTCCCTCTCGCCCTCCCCCTCCAATTGGCGCGTCAAATTCCAGACATCGTGCTTGTTGAGGTGCCGCTCCAGCGGCTGGAAGGGCTGTGGAATGCCAGCGGGCTCGAGGTCGGATAGCCAGCGGGTCAGCACCACCGGTCGGCGCTCCTTCCACTGGGCCTGACTGATGTCGCCCAAGGCAGCCGCCCAGTTGGGCGTGGAGGTGTCCACCACTGTGGCGGCACTCGGTGCCAGGTTGCTGATGTTCAGCAGTTGTCCCAGGTAGTAGCTGAAGATCTCGCCCTGGATCTGGTCGGTGTTTTGGCGGTAGCGGGCACAGGCCCGTGTCCCGTCAGCGAAGATCACCAGACGGTTCTGCATGCGCCCGCAGCCCGCCTCCAGGCGGACTACGCGGCCCTGCTCGCCCACGAATCTTTCCCAGCTGAGCTGGTCCTCCGAGGCGAAACCCTTGGGCAGAGCCTTCTCCACCACTGGTCCCCAGAACACGTTGTCCTCGATGAGGCCACTTGGGCCTTGCGTCGTGGTGGTCACCGGCGAGCGAAGCGTCTCCGCCTGCGTCCTGCGCTCCGGAACCTTTTTGGTCAACCTCCGCTCCGGTCCCTTCCGGTAGCGTCCGCTGGCCGTGCGCTGGACGTGGAACTCCTTGATGCTGCCGTCGTTGGTGTCCAGCTTCTTGACCACCATGGAGTCGGGGGCATCCTTGTCCTGCTCCAGGTGGAAGGCGTTGCGGAAGACCTGCTCGGCACTCAGCTCAGAGTCCTGCTCCTCCTTGATGAAGGCCACGCGGTAGTTGTTCTGCAGGGGCTCCACTATGATTTCCTGGAGCATGTCTGGCGGAGATTCGGCGGCATCGGGGCTACGGGGCAGGCCGAACATGGGCACTACCACGCCCAGGGCCATGCCAAAGACGAAGGCGGCCAGGATGCTGAGGAGGCAGGCGCGACGCTGCAGCGATCGACGCCGGCGCAGGGACAGCAGCGTCATGTGGGTGGCCTCGCTGGAATTGGGGTTATCCTGGAGCTTCAGGGAGGGCGCTGCTATCACGCTGCAGGTGAGCTGCTGCTTCTGCAGACCGCTCAGGTCAAGGCCCAGGGATTGCTGTTGTTGCTGTAGTTGCTGAAGTTGCTGGAGTCGCTGTAGTGATTGCAGTTGCTGTTGTTGTCCGGCTTCCAGGCGCTTGATGTCGTACATTTTGCCGGCGAACCGTAGATCCTTAGTTCCCTGCTCAAGCCCAGACCTCTGGCTCAAAGTTCAGGCCGCGCATGGGGGGCAGGTGGCTGGCGGACAGGGGTAGCAGGGGGGCGCGTGGGTCGCTTGGGCAAGAGGGTGGCTCCAATATGCTGGTGGTGCACAAAGTCGTGAAATTAATTTCTGTCTTTGTTTAATAAATATCGGTTCTTGGCCTCGTCCTCGTCCGCGTCGTTGTTGCAAGAATCTTCCTTGTTGTTGCAGTTGCAGTTGCAGTCTCGGTTTGCCCTCGGACCGGTTCGAATTTTTCCTCTACGATTTCCACAATTGAAATTGAAACAAAAACACAGAAACGTGCTCTTCCTGCTAAAGCTCCTTGATCGCTCGCAGATCGTCGTTCGTTTATTTATTTTTATACTCTCTGGACCGCTGGACAACGTTGGCTTTTTTTCGTTTTTTTGTTGTTGATTTTTTTTTTTCGGGTTTAAGTTCGTTTTGTGTTGGAGTTTTGGCGTTTGGGGTTTGGGGTTTGGGTTTTGGGTTTATCGATCTATTTTCTGCACGATCACTTGCTGTAATTTTTTATTATACATTTTTGCTGGCCGTTTGTTTGTTTGTTTGTTTGTGGGCGACTGACTGTTAGCCCGGCGGGTTAATATTTTGTGGGGCGGCTGGGCCCTTCAGTTTCTTTCTATTTCTTTATTTTTTTTTTTGTTTCGCTTTTAATTTGTGCAGTTTGGCGATTTCGGTGGGGCGATAAAAACTATTTCGTGGCTCGGAGCTATTTGCCTCACACACCCCAACACACGCGCTAGCGCGAAGCACACACACGCACACACTGGCGAGGCGACGCAGGGACACGTGAGGTTGTCAGGAATTCCCAACCCAACCGATTCGACCGATAATTGCCCGCGCAGTGCAAACACCAACACGACAATAATAACAACAACACCACCACCGCCAACAAACGGCCAGGAGCTGGTCCAACAATATCCGGCGGGGCGGCGGGCAGCCGCGTGGGGCAACCAAGAAGATGATGGCGAAAAAAAAAAAAACGTAAAAAGACAAAGTCCTAGGAACGTCGCTGGTCTTTGCTTTTTAGGCTTTATCAATTTAATTTCTTGTCTCGCACCTCCGGCTCGGCTCGGGTTTGGTTTATTTTTCGCCCTTAGTCTCGTCTCTGGAGCTGAAGCTGGAGCTGGAGCTGAAGCTGGTGCTGGTGTCTGGTGCTGTGTGCTTTATTTTAGGCTTTTTGTCCGCGCATTCGATCTCGTCGCTGCGCACCGAACGATGTGTGGAATTTTTATGCCTCCGCTTTATTTATTTTCTGCCTTATTTATATGTTTGTCCTTCGTTCGGCGGACAGGCGGACTGACACTGGCGGTCGGGCGGATATTTTTGGCGGCGTAACCGGAGTTTAGAATGTCACACCACTACTACTAATAATAGTACATCTGCTACTGCTACTCGGCGTATCTGCGAGTTGCAAGACTTCACTTTTCAATTCTGATTTTCACTGGCAAGTATCTGACGGATGTGCGACTGCGCGCCTGCGTACCGTTCGCTTTGAGTTTCGCTGACAAACTGACGGCTCATCGGCTCTCCCCGGTCTTAGTTAAAGACACGCGGCGGCGCATGGCTCCGGTGCTCACCTGCTCGCCTGCATACCTTCTCTCTTGGCCACCTTTTACGGGAGAGATCTCTCTCGACCACCTTGGCTTGCCGGTTTTTGAGTCGATTTTGAGTGGAATTTTGGATCTGTGCTCTTTGAGTCGAAAGGTTCACTCTCTTCGTTAATATGCTACTAATGGTTGGACTATAAATTAATTGTTAATTAGTTAAGAACTAGTGGAGACTTGTCCGTCTGATATCAATTGAAAGAATATATAAAGAATATTAAATTCCTTATAAATTCTTAAGGAATAATATTTCCTAACAACTAATTAAAACAAAAACCCAATACACAAGTCCAGTAATCATATATTTATTTTTTGTAGTCTCAATAAACTGAAAATAATAAAGAATATTTATTGAAATTTGTTGTATTTTTTAGGAACATGATAGAAACTGCCATTGGCCTGAACATCGACTCCCAGGATATTGTTGCCGTAAAACTTTCCATTAAAAGTATAGTTAAAATCAGGCATGTACTGCGGCATATCGTCCCCATCGAACTGAATACGCTTCATAGGGTAGGTGACATTCTAAAAAATCATGAAATAAAATCTGTATAAAAAATCATCCAAATCCATTATTTTCTTGCCTTTAAAAGTGGACACTTTTCGGGAAAATCGGCAGCCGCACGTCGAAAGACTCTGTAATAAATAGCAGTCCAGTTTTGTTTTTTAATCATCTTTTTTAGGTTACAGAGCTCTACGCGGATGTTTCTCAAGTGCACCACGTTTCCATAGACCTCGGAAAAAATATTCAGCTCGAGGACACCCAGGATATTATAAGCATCCTTGTCACCGATCGTGACATTTAATGCCAATACCAAAGGGGAGGCCAACTTGCAGACAATATTTGAGAATACATGGTTCTTTAGAGTACACTTTACATTATCGAAGGTGATTTGCTGAAGGTAAACCAAGAAATGAAACATATTTAGACATCAAATCGATAAATTTTTAATATTTTGATATAATTTAAATACAAGATATTCATAAACTATGATGTTTTATTTAAAGAAGGATCGTAAAAGCATCCTGTAGCTTTTGCAACAAATCCTAACTTTTTATTTGCATAAAACTTTCCACTGTACGTAAAGTTTGCCTCGGGAAAGTACTGTGGAATTAAATCGTATTCGAAATACAATCCTTCCAGGATAAAGGTAGTATTCTGCCAACAAATAAAATTATTTTATGAAAAAACAGTTAAAGATTCTCACTTTTGGAAAAGGACATTTTTCGGGAAAATTTACTGCAGCCTGAAGTATTTTTTTATGTTGGAGGCCAAGGACAGATTTTTTCTCACTCTGTTTTTTGAGATTACACAAATCCCATTTAAACTTTTGCAGTCTTAACGATTTGGTATAACCCTTTAGGAAAATATCCAAACTTATCCAACCGAATAAGGTTTCAGATGCCTCCTGTTCGGCAGTTGTGAATACTATTTTCAGAGTTCGATTGGATTCCTTTAGGCAAATTACACTCGATATAACATTGCCTTTCTGAGAGCATTCAAAAGAGTTGAACACAACCTGCCAAAATTAAGTTACTAACTTAAGACCAAATAAAAAAAATTGTATATTTTGAAAAAATATTAGGATTATCAAACCTTTTTTGCAATCCCGTCGGGCGGTAATATCCAAACGCAAAGAACTGCGGTCCAGACAACTTTTGGGTTACGAAACATTTTTCCAAATGATTCTATAAATAAAATATATCTTGTCCATGGTTTTTGATTTGGAACAGTTTAATGATTGAGCTTCAATTATTTTCAATCACCAATTAGATCATATCGTTTTAATTCACAAAACTCGTTGAAGTGAATCTTTGTGGGAACAATTTTAAATAAACGTTTTAAATGCTATTTTGGGTAGAAGTGGTCTTTGAAACATCAATATATTTTTTTGTTCCTTTAAAATTTGTTTACTTAAGAATTTGTTGAATTTATAGAGAGGGGTATTTAATATTTTGTTCTGAATCTAGCTTAGAAATTCTTTATTTTAATTATAACCTTTTTAACGACCCTATAGTATATCCTTTCGATAATCGATTTTTTGCAACGCCGTCGGATGTTTATTTACACTTTATTCCTAATTTTTACAAGACTAATTTTTAGTTAAAGTGGAAACATTATTTTTCAAATTGTTGATTTCAAAAAAGGCCCCTGTGGCATGTGCCTCGATTCCTAGTTCGTTGTTGGAATAGAATTTGGCATTAAATGTGTAATTAAAATCTGGCAATTACTGTGGCATGTCATTTCCATCGAATTGTAGTCGTTTCAAAGAATATGTGGTGTTCTATTTGAAATAATAAAGAAAGAAATGTTAATACTAAAGAAAATAAAAAAATTTTTGTCAAATGCTAACCTTTTGAAAAGGACACTTGTCGGGAAAGTTGGCGGCTGCTCTTCGTAAACTTTTATAATAGATGCCCATCAGGGATTTCTTGTCAATGAGTTTCTTAAGGTTACACAGCTCCACACGGATATTTTTTAAACGCATCATTTTGCGATGTCCTTCGGGAAAGACTTGTAGCTCAATAATGGCCAGAACATTGTGAGCTGGCTCCTTTTCAGCAATGGTAACATTCACGGTCAAAGATACTGGAGAATCCACCTGGCAGATGATCTTGGAGAACTGTTTGGTTTTCAAAGTGCACTCCATTGTGTAAAATACAATTTGCTAAATAGGAATTAACAGAAATTACAATAAATTTTCAATTAAATATATATTTTCATCTAACCTTTTTAGCTAACCCGTTGGATGGTAAAAACCCAAAGAAATAAAATACCAGTACCCACATGAGCACGTAGTTTTGATTCATTTTTCCAACTGGAGCGTTGAATATTGCTATGATCTAACAATTATCTGGCTTGCCAATTATATATATATAGTATTTCTACATGATGGTATTGACACTCTTGTGTATTTTACATTTAAGAGCGGCTCCGAGTAAAGCCACTCATTGGATTCACTCAATTTTTAATAAGCCGGGGATCTATGGAGAGCGGAGAGCTCCAATCGGTGGGAGGCTTGTGGAGCTCTGGATTTGTTTGTGCTCCCGTTGACTTTTATGCTCAATGCGGCACATTTGCTCCGGCACATTAAGAAACTAGAATTCCTAATGGAAGAGAGCGGAGTGAAGAGTGGGGAAACGATTGTAAAGTGGGAAAAGGTGTCCTGAAAAGGAACAATTTTAAACCAAGACTAGAAAAAAGGTATTAAATATAGATTCCTTAAATAGTTGTAATATAAAATAATTTAAGGGAAACACTTTACTAATTATTTTAAAGACACAAAATCAGAAGGACGATATAGCTAAGAACTGAAGACAAATAAATAAATAATAGAGTTAACTGCCTCGACTATACAATATCCCCCAATATCAAATTTCAAAAATAATCAAAACCATTTAATAGTCGTTCCGGTTGTCTACATAAATTTGTACTAATTTTTTTGGTATCATTTATAAGCCGAGACTTATAATTTGGGGCCTAAACGACCATTATTTTTAATACTAGGGCATAAAACAGATATTGAAACCGTTTGAAAGTGATACCAAAATTATAATATTTTACGGTTGGAAAAGATAGTTTTATTATAAAAATCATTTGATTTGTATGGGACTTTATGGGATATACGGAAAGCGATATACCCACTGAACTTCGAGGAGTAGAAAGAACAGAAACGGAAAAAATATGATCAAGGAATGTAGACATAACTTGACAGCGTGTTTAGAGAATTTTTACTCGGGCCCGAGGACAGGGACAGAATCGCGAGTTCCAAGTTGCGACTTGGAAGACACCGAAGACTCGCGGCTCGGAAGAATTGGCTGGCGGAGGCGACGGCAAAAACGAAAGATAACAACAACTCGGGGCCGCTGCATTCTTTTGTCCAGAAGAGCCCACTAGAGAGCGAGATGGAGACAGAGGGATCACGAGAAAACCGAACCGAGAACCGAGAAATAGAGAGTGCGAAGGAGAGCGAGACGGGTTTTTTGACTCAAGAATTGGGCTCACGATTTTTCGGGTGCAGTTTAATTTAATAAAGTGAGAGCATGTTCGGGCCTAATTGAATTTGCAATGTTGATTCAATGGCGGCAAGATCGAACCAGAATTAATTTATTTTTCTTTTACACACTATTAAGCTTGATGGTTGAAATTTCCATGATCCGTCCCGAAAGCCCACAATGCACAAGTTAGTTATGCGCCGGCCGGATTTGATGTCTTTTTGAAAACCAAAATAACCAAACAAATAAAAAGCTTTTAAGTGGGTTTTTGACTTTTTTCAAACTTTATCAATCGAACGCCATCAGTCGGTTTCCATTTTGAATTGTCGCTGTTTTTTTTTTTGTTGTGTATTTTGATTTGCCATATGCCCCGCAGTAATGTGTCTGTTGAAATCGTCAGTTTAAGTCAAATTAATTAACATTAATTTTTGTGGCTCGTTTCGAGGCATGAAATCAACCGGGTGGCTCTGCTCTGCTCCAACTCTTTTTCCTTGGGTCTCTGGTCTCTGGCTTTCAATGTGTGTAAAATTAATGTCGGCTTTGATGATAAATTGGAACTCGTTGGAGCTTTGTTTTATAGATTTCATTTCTGGCTCTGACTCTTGCCAATATGGTGGGAACCAAATGGATGGATGGATGATGGTCGGAGTGGTGTGTTATAGTTATAGTTTTGGCCCAGCGCCGGGCCCAGAGGTTAATCGAATTAAACAAATACCTGACGAATGTTTTCTTTTTTTTTTTCCCCTTTTTTTTGTTTTGTTTGGGGGGTCTTTTGAAAAATGATCTATTACGGGGCGGCCGTGTAACTGTGCCCAGTCTTTGCCGTTGATGGCCTGTTGATGGCTGCTGCGTCAAGTTCGTTGCCTAAGTCTTTCGTTATGGGAAGTCAGCACAAACACAAACACCAAAGAAGAGACACTTTGCGGCGACTCAGCCCTTGTTTTAATTATTTGCAGGCTGCGTATAAGTTTCAGACGAAAAGAAACGGCGAAAAATCCCCAAAAAACATTGAAAACCAATGGAGGCACCAACACTGAGACTAACAACTGAAGTGAAATCGAGTTAACGTTTGACTAATTATTATTACAATTATAAGGGTTTGTGTGCGGTGACTTCATTGCTATTTAAATACTTTTTAATGATTAAACATTAAGCATTATCTGTATTTCATGATTTATCTTTTATGCGTTTATGAGGGGCGATAAATAATTGTCACAAAACAAAAATTAAATTTCTTTATTTCTGATTATGGTTAAAATTTTTCCTCAGTGCTGAAACCGAAACGGAAAGCATTTGCCGAAGTTTGTTAAGCGCAAATTCCTGGGATGTTTGCAGTGCGCAACAATTTGGAACATTTTGTCGAACACAAGAGGAGCAAACAGACTGCATCAAGCTTACAAAAAAAAAGAAGAAACCGAAAATATAACAAAAAGGAGGGGATCCTCGACGGACATCGCCTCGTGGTCAACGAAAGTGAACTGTGAAGGACATGGCCAGCGGCCCCCGCCTCCTGGCCAGTTGGAAATTGGATGGAACTCGAGTGTTAGCTGCCTTTTGTTTGCTCTGCTAGATTCCAGACCACTCATCCTAGACCAGACGCTGGCGTCGTCGCTGACGATGACGACTTGGACGACCTCAAGAGGCAGGAACTCAGTCACCGCAGCTCGGTCTCTCCCTACCTCTCTGAGGCTCGGATATCGTCACGGGCCGTCAGCGCCTCCATCCACCATTCACACTCTCTAGGAGATCCTAGTCGCAGGCGTACTTGAGCCTCGGCATCCACATCCACATCCACATCCCCATCAACGCCGCTGCCAGGGCACTTGCCACGGACTGCGGCAGCGACCTCGGCTGTCGCGGCATCAACTTGGATGGGATCTGCTCAAGCATCTACGCAGACAGCACGGCACAGTGGTTGCGAAGTTGCAAGCAATCGGGGGCGGAACGGAAACTTTGCGATTACAAGTGCAAATAATAGGCTCCCTTTTAGAAAATCAGGAACAAATAAAAAATATATAAAAAATATACTTCTTATTAAATTTTATTTTTAGTTAAGGAATTTTGAAACAAGATATTGTTTGGTTTTTAAAAGGAAAATATCACTGAAAAAGAATGCAATATTTATTTAGGATCATGTGGTTGATGGAATCACTTTGAAACCAATGTCGCGGATCAGAATTGTTAAGGGAGACTGAAAACAGTCTCCGAGGTTCAGATACACTCGTACTAGGTGCCAGGGCCTGACCTGAGTTAAACAAATTCATTAAAAACTCGTCACTTTGCGCAGATCACGCTGACTTGGCACAACTTGGCTCGATTCTTGATCCTCGTCCTCGGGCTTCGGTCCTCCAGCTGGCGTCCTCCATGCCACATCCATGCAGCATCCTCGTGTCGAGCACTTTGGGCACTTGGCAGTGTTCGGTGTGTGTATTTTGGCCATGGCCTGTGTATCTCCGTCTCTGGCCAATGAAGTGTTGGCCAAAACGTTGGCTGGCATTGTCAGTTTTAGTTTTAGGGCGATGGAAGGACTCGATGAGAGGCCAAAAGACAATATTTTCGTAGCATCCCTTCACACACTGTGCTGTATTTGCACTTCCTACAGGAGAGGTTGGTTTTTATTTGGAGTTTTGTACTCGTAGTTTTTGGTGTTTTCAAAGTTCTGGAGCCTGAGCTCCTCGCATGTTTGTATTCAGCTTCGAAGGCACTTCAATCAACTTGATCTGCTGCAGCCTGCGAGGCAAGATCGGGGCAAGCCACATCGCTCCTCCGTCCACTGGCATTTCTCTTGAGAAAGCTCCGAAACCAAAACCGATAAGGTGGCAGGCAGTTGCATGCTTCATTGAAATGTGGCAAGTGAGCCCGGCTCTAACGGCGGCTCATAATTGTCCGGCTAGAGGAGTTTGGTGCCTCCAGGCTGGAGATAGGTTTCCAGGAAGTGCATACGCACTGTTCACACCGCTACTGATGCCGCCAGTTGATGTCGCCCCAACGAATCGGTCCAACGAATTCCCCAAACGCATCGCGATGACTCAGACTGGTTTCCTGGATGGATGGTTGGTCGGCAAAGGTGGCGGATGTGGGAGCGAACAGTGTGGGAAGAACAGAGACTTTCCCTTTCACTGGCCTTATGAATTTTCAAACAAACGTCCACACATATATCCTTTATATATTTATTTATATACCGACTGTCATTCCCCGACAGTGCCATCAAAGATATCGCTTCGCTATTCGCCTTTTATGGCTGCCTTGTCCCCTGAAAAAAACTATATATATCTTTAAAAAAAAACATACAAACGCGCCTGTAATTTTAAGGCCCAGAGAAAGGAACAGGGAAAAGGAATAAGGGAGCCCAGACCGAGACCAAGTCCAAGACCAAGGGCCAAGTATGACGATGATGACAAACAAGGATACCAAACTCAGAATACCAGGGAATTCTTTTGGATAATTAAAAGCACTTAAGTAGGAATTTTTTTCGTCTCTCTTTCGTTCTGTCTATCTCTCTGGTTCCCTCTTTTCCTTTTTTTGTTGTTTATGTTCTCTGTGGTTCCCTCTTAAATTTATATAATTTTATATAAAGTTTATAATACTATGTGGTTAGTCTAAGGATTCAATATACAGGTTAGACTGGTTGCCTTATATTCCTAGAAGAAAGCTTATAAGAACCTGTAAATATTATATAAATTATAAAGGATTTATAGTATAAGATCGTAAAAGTTCAAAAGGCCTCTTTACGTATCTGTTGAAGATTTTAATTGAAACTTAAAAGTCCTTCACTTCTCATTTCTTAATTTAAATATAAAAATTTATTATAAAGA